GGGATACTACCGGGAACGGACAGAGCACACCAAGTACACAGCTTAGCTGTGCATCCACGTCCGTTCAAGCAATCGGGCCTGATAACCAACGACAACGGGAACATCGCTGCTGACGACGGTTCGTGGCCTTAGGCGTGGGTACAAGAAAATCACCGTTTTATTTCAAATATTACTGAAAAATTAGATCCGTGAAGGAAAACGTTTGGATTAGCCATGACGATGAAAAACCAAAAAACAAGTTTATTTTTGGTGACGACGTTTCGACCCTCTTGTAAGGTCTTTATTAAGTCAATTAACAAGCGCTTGTTCGCTCGTTAATTGACTTGATAAAGGCCTTACAAGAGGGTCGAAACGTCGTCACCAAAAATAAACTTGTTTTTTGGTTTTTCATCGTCATGGCTAATCCAAACGTTTTCCTTCACGGATCTAACACCATGAGCATGACGCACAATGACTTCAATAACATCCGTTCCAAATTTGGATCTGATATTGTGATTACTGAAAAATTATTAGGTTAAATGAAGGGGCAAAAAACTTTAGATCACATGAATACCGTTGATACCGGAATAAGCGAATGTTCGCGCGCGCAAAGGCCCAATTTTCGCATAAAATCATTTCATAGCGAACCAATTCTGTCAATAGTGATACGTCGAAAAAGACCACAATAATTCACATCAGGCGGGCAACGGATTAAAAAGGCTTAAAGTAAGCTTGCAATCAAACGGTTACACAGTCTACTGGATTAGCGTGTCGTTTGCTTGTTAATTGTTGTACCATAATTTCTTTCTCTTGCTTGTGACGAAATCCAAAAGCTCGTTTGTTACACAGAGAGAGAGAGAAACAGCAGCCATGCCTCGTGAACTCTCAATCATCCACAGAATGAGTGGTAACATGTCCAGTCCTGTTTACGATCAATCGTTGACATGAATTCTCACGTTTTTTGTTCACCGATCCCATGACACCAGTGCTGCCGTATCGAACCACCTAGTTCATACTATCACGCAGTGCAACAGCTTGAGTGCAGCTTGTAATGCTCAACTATAGCTCAAATATTTCAATTGATTGTGAGAAGAAAAACTGTGAAATCGGAAAGATGAAAGATATAAGGAATTCGGGAGTGTATTTTAAGTACTACGGGTTGAACGCATACACAACCTAACACCGGAGCCGCAGAGTGCTGCGTGTGTGTTGGGCGGCGGTGGCCCGGTGGTAACACCACCAAATTATCACCCCGGAGGACAATTGTTCGAATCCCACCACCACCGCCACCTGACTTTCTGCATTATGTGTGTTGTATGGCAGCCAATTGATCGGTCGCTTCCCCCTTCCGGAAAATTGTATACTCAACCAAAAGAAGTAAAAATGAAAAAGAAAGATAAATATATATACATACATAAATGGCTCTTTTTGGTTGGTTTGGTAGATTTGCTATCGTCCGGTTCAGTACCACACCAAACCTAGCAGCGGGGCCTTGTGCGGTTCGATACTCGGGGCTTAGGTTGCCGGTTTCCCTCACTGAACAGCAGGCCCTCGGTTACCGTCTGCTGTTCATTACACTAAAGTGTGCAATAAAAGTTTTTTCAGCCCCTAGGTGAACTGCCAGTGGTTCACCGACCTGGGTACAGCCCCGGATGTGGCCTTGTTGTATCCTTCACTTGGTGGCAAAACACCACTGCCACGGGACGGTGGTGGAGAAAAGCCATGCGACTGAGAATACGCCGATGACTTCGTCTGTCTGTTCGAATGTATGGAGGACGCGTAAAGCGCACTTGATAGATTAACAAGTGCAGTTGTTACATTCGGTATGTACGTTGCACCTTCAAAGTGTAAAGTGATGCCGCAGGACTGGGTTTTGACTAATCCCGCTTTGAAACTAAATGGCCAGGAATTAGTTACGGGGGATTACTTTTCCTACTTAGGTAGCTGCGTGACCAATGACGGTAGCGCAGCAAAGGAGATAACCGCCAGCATTTCCAAGGCTCAAGCAGCATACGCGGGACTAAAACACCTTTGCTGTAGACGCGACATTTCACTGAAGTCGAAAGATCGTGTATATAATGCCACCGTTCGTTCAGTTCTGCTTTATTGTTTTGAGACCTTGCATTTTCAATTAGAAGATATCCACTGACTAGAGGTTCTCGATTATCGGTGTTTAGTTTAGCTCATGTGAAATGAAGCGAACGGGTTAGCAATGTGGAGGTGGGCCGTCGTATGTTTCGGAGTCTATCAGGTATAAACCTGCCAGCGCACCGAACTCAGATTGGTAGGCTTCGCTGGCTAGGACACGTTTTGCGCATGTCCAGCCATCGTCTGCCGCACCGCGCTTTATTCACTGTAGCCGCCCCGGGCTGGAGGAAACCAAGTGGAGGTCAACAGATGACTTAGAAACGAGGCACGAAGAAATGCACAGAGCCATTAGGATGAGTAAGGGTCTCTCACATTCCAAGTTGGGATCCAAAAGACTCCACAACCGGTTGGTTGGAGACATTGAAGGACATGGCGGCGAGCCGACAGCAGTGGCATTTTTTTTGTCGTTTCTTATCAGATCAGAATGTCTGAAACGATATATATGCAGAATTCGATTGCGTACTCTGTGTGGCTCACCTTCCCTCTCCCTCCTCAAAGTAGGTCCAGTCCCTGTCCATTTTGAATATTAACACTAACCTTGTATGGATTGCGAGTTCGGCAGCGATCAGTGAAGCTCGCTTCACTGTATTTCGCTGTACGGTGATGATGATGATGGCAGTAAGTAGGACTTCCTCAGCAGAGGCTATTTGAGACGCTTGAGGGCGAGGTGTAAGGAAAGGGTGATCAGTCACAACCCGAGACGTCCAACTCCGATCATGCTGAGTCGTTCGGCGGCGAGCATTGAATGTACAAACAACTGATTACAATGATTGTGAAGTACTATTTGTGACCAAAACTGTTCAGTTCAGTTTTACAACCATTAACCATGTACTTTCGTGCGCCGGTGCACTATTTGGATAAAACAGCACAATGAAGATTGGAATGTTGAAAGCGAATGGAGAGTCACCAGCCCGGGGGCCTAACAGGGCCTATGTCACCTAGTCCCCTAGTTAGGGTTTTCATACCCTCATTCCAGGTCTTCGTTTGACCACCCTTGATTTTTATCCAACCGTTACCTGCCTCGACAAACACCGCTCGCCGTGGTGACATGCGTAACACATGCCCCGACCAATGTAATCCACGGAGGTCGATCACTTGCTCCAGTGGACGACCGCGACTGCCTAAAACTGTATGAGTATACCGTATCCAGTTCGGTAGTTCGGTCGTAACAATCCGACCCCGGAAACTGTTCGACCATACCATAGAATAAACAACAGCAATCAGCCAATGACCGGTCTCGTTGAAAGTGGCTAATCGAGAAAGTCTATCAAAATGTGTGCAACGTGCATGTTCCAACAAAAGAAGTTTTGCGGTAGTGATGCTTCTCAGTGTTCGACTGCGATTACTCTACGGCTAACTTCGGCAATTCTAATTCGCTTGTTCGTCAACGTCTTATCCCCCGCCGAAGTGACATCATCAGTACTTGTGAAGTGAAGTTCACTTCGCCCGAACTACGAGAACCGATTTTCAATATTTGATTAAGTTAAGCAATGATGCATCGAGAACCGCGTTCCGCGCTCGGACTATTCACCTCAGTTGTGACATCCTGACTTACTGGATTGCTTGATTCATTGGCATTTTCCACCTACGGTTTTACATCACCCGTCAGCGAAGCAGATGCCAAATGCGCAGTCGCAGTTCAACAGGTTGGAATTTGAATCAGGACAACACGCGAGGCTCGCAGTTCCGCCAAGTGTTGTAAACAACGACGTATGTCACATTAGAAAGAGACAGCGAGACAAGGCTCAAAACCCCAGTATCCCTGGAGATCGTTGAAGACAATGTGAAGGCGCTAGACGTTTTGTATGGACATACCAGCACGAGTCGAATATTAATTTTACATGAACAGTGATTTTGATTAGTCAGTGTCAAAGAGAACAAGCCCGAAACCTCGGTTTAATCATTTCGAATCACACCGCTCAATTTCACTATACTCGGACGAACATGACTTATTTATAAACGAGCTGAGGAAAAAAGTATTCATCTGTATGAAAGCTTCTACACCTTTTCCCATTAAGCTTTATCCGAAACCCGCGAGCCTTTAGCCTCGACCCGTTGCAAAAGCATGGTTAATAAATGAGAGCGAGTGGCAGTCGCACGCTACATCACATGTTAATTGGAGACGGTCTAACCGATGTACCCGTCTTGGCGAACCATTTGACACAACTCGTACAGTTTCTGTGTTTCCGTATAACATGCGATAATCCTGTGAGTGAATATCTTAAGTGTAGCACAAACAGCACATTGTTTTGCATTCACAATTGGACTCCAGTCATGAAAGGTGGATACATAAACATACCGAGGATAATAAACAAGGTTCATACAAGTACACTCCCATAACTATCAAGAATTATGGGATTTGTCTAAAGCTTCTTGGGCAACGGTGTGCTAAAGGGGGTCTTTTGTGAACAGTGTTTATTATCCTCTGCTTGTTAATGTATCCACATCTCAGGAGCGGAGTGGATAAGGGGAACGATAAACATTTAATTTTTGTGATATCAATTTTTAATTTATTTCGGGGTCGGACCTAAAGGACTGGGGGTTTTGGTTAAAACTTGATGGCAAAGAGTGTAGTACAAAATTCCAGGGTTCATGTGAGCGAGCACATACAGAGTGCTCGAATCAATATAGGTAGTTTTATTTTGTAGACATTATCAAGATATATTCGTATTACTACATAATGATCGACTGTCCTCTTCTCCTCCTCCTCCTGTAACCTAGGGGGGTCTTATGCGGTTCGTCACTCCAAGCCCCAGGGCTAAGATTACCGGTTTCCATCACTGAACAGCAGGTCGTCGTGATTAAGGGGTTCACCCCGTCCGCTGTTTATCACACGAAAGTATGTAATAAAAAAATTTTTTTTTAAAAATAGGTGCGAAACAAACTCCCACAGGTCATACAAACGCGTCAACAAAACTGGGAAAAGAATAAGCATTGACTTACCTTCTTGCTATTATCATTGACTGAAAACATGCGAAACCACACGTACTATTGAACATATGAATTGGAATTGATGGTCCTTTGTAAAATAATAGGGGAAAAACCCATTTGCCTTTGACTTCAGGGCACGTCGTGTGGTTCGCCACCCAGAACACCCAGTGTGGCGGTTCCCCTGGACGAACAGCACATTCAAGGGGACCATGAGATTTACACTTTCTCATCGCATAACGGTGTGTGCGTGTGTAAAACTATCTTCAATTTGTGCCCACAGATTTAACCAACCAAATAACCAATCAGCAGAAGGTAAACAATAAACGCCTACCGGGTTGGAGGATCAGAAGACGGGAGATTAGTTGGATCATCATTGCCCAGATTAATCAGATCGTTCTGTTTGGAAACAGCGCGTTCAGGCGAAGAGAATTCGGCTGCCTTGACGGTCCCTGTCCCCGCTCCCGCTGCGGTAACCCCAGTGGATACGACAGCCGGAACGGATGCATCGTCTTCACCGTCTTGGAAACGCAGACCAACCTCATCCGATTCGGGGATCGGTTTCGGATGAGTCAGAGTGAATGGTAGTTCGAGTGAGACATCACTGAGCAAATAATCGGGAGAGAGAGAGAGAGACAGAGGGGAAGCGACAACAAGATTTTAACAAGTAACAAGAGAAAGAAAGAATAACTAATATTGTCTAATGAAGAACAGACTGATGTCCACAATTTTCGGTAGTGAAAGCCGAAACCCACAAAAATCAAATCAATGAGACAACGAAATAATCGTGGATATGGTTCAAGGCACACTGCTCGATAGGGTGCAATCATACAACCTGTAACGAGAGGCGAATTGAAACACTATCTGTGTTCGAACACCGTATTGCAGAGGTTTGCTAGAACAATCGAGGAGGAGGTCAGAGACGTAGAGTAATTGCTAATCCCGGTCATGCGCTGACGAATCGCCCTGACTTCCACAGACTGGGACATGTATTATGCATCTCATCACAGATCCTTGTCCAAAAGGCAATGTTTGCTTAAAGTAGTAGTTCGAACAGGGTTTAAAGTTCTTTTTTAACATAACACACGATAGCGGAGAATCGAAACTGTGAAAATTCGCCCTGTGGCCTATGCATAAAGCGTTTCTTGAATTGACTTGAAATGAGACGCTCACATTGAAGGAGTAAACGGGTTCCTGGCTAGGGTCCATGTGATCTATTCTCATATGTTTGCTATACCTTAAACAATCACGCGTCAGCATCTACTCACTTACCACCCAGATACCAAAAGTGCATCTGCTTGTCGTATTTTGGTTTTTGATAGAAATCGCAACCCTGAACTTGTTCACTTATTCGAACGCATAGATCGACCAAACAATTTGTGGCAACATGCGTCTTGGCAACGAGCTGCCGGTGTCGAACGGCCGATGTTTCACCGCCCCGTCTGATTTTTATCGTGAATCTAGCCTCTCTCTCACACACACAATTGCCCGATTGTTTTTCGATTTGTCCCCAATTTGCTCTCCTGTTTCATGAAACAAGTTTATGGAACACTATACCGATTCAGGCATGACAACATTCCATTGGTGATGCACACAGCCTGCGCGAGCATGCCGGGCATCATTCAACTGTTTAGTTGAGCTGAATTGCAGGCCCGCGGGCGAAGCGTCAAGGGTGGAAGGGGCGATCAAGTGCTGGCAAGACCTGGTGATCAACTGTTTGAATGCGACAACAATAAAATGTCGACGAGCATGATGATCATCAATCACAATCGCGCTTCAGGTCAGTGCACTGCTCATATTGTCGTATACGTAGTCAATTTATTGCACTGCTGGATCGTAAAAACAAATAGCATTCACCAATTAGGAAAGACATAAATTCACTAGCTTGCATGCGAGTGACGACACACTGGCAGATAATCAGTACATCAAACGTGGGTCAGCAGGCTGTCAACAGATAGACTGTGAAATTCGTATAGTCCACTTAACGACAATCCGTATAGCGTGTCGGTGGTAACCAGTGGGTTTCATAGGCCGAAAATCGAAACTGGAATCTAACTTCCCCGTCCCACCGATTATAGGGTTTGACTAACTCGAACGAACTATATCCGAGAGAATCGCTGGAACTTTCAGCGTCCAATTTAATGATTCTCATCGTGCAGAAACCAATTACTGGTTTTAGCAAAAAATAGAACGAGTCGGACGAATGCCACCATGAGAAATTCGTCAGGATGCGCTCATTCAATCAGATGGATACAAATGGAAGTCGACAAGAAATATAGATTGAGCACCGATATATTTCATAATAACCATTATTTGCACCCTGGGCGAATTTGAATAGACAGCGTTTCCAGAGCCAGTCCATCGAGCAACCAATGCTACGATTCCATCTCTTGTAGATGCATTAGATGTTACCAATCGCAAAAGCGTGACTTAAGCGTCTTTGTGGAATATTTTATAATGAGTAGCAGCTAGTAGTATGTAACTCAACTACAGAACGTCGATTCATAGTATTGATTCTTCATTCGACTGGCTCTGAAACAGCTGTACATCAGCCTTGGATTTTTTTCTACGCACTACCTGCCTCAGTGAACATCACTCACCGTGGACACCTATCTGGTGATATACGTAAC